AGAGAGAGAGAGAGAGAGAGAGAGAGAGAGAGAGAGAGAGAGAGAGCGGCTGCCTCACAGCTTTTCATTTGCGCGAAATTATCAACTTCCTTCCTGACCCTTTCTCTACCGTTTCTCTACCGAGCGAGGACAACTTGTACGCGCCGCATTTTGCGAGAATTATGCGTGTTCATGTCCGCGAGTTAATGCGGAATATGCGCCGAGGCGGTAAAGCGAAATATGGAGCGTATTTTTCGCTCCGCCACTTCCAACGGGAAATTATAGTGTTTAATAATTGAAGTTCCGCCCTCCCCAGTTAAATTCTCTCCGCCCGTCGCGCTTGAATCTTTTTTTTTTAATACAATTCATTTTTAAGATTAACGTACATTTATCCGCTTCATTTAAGAAAAAAGTGTAACCGTGAAAAATATTTTTTTTCAGTTGCACAAAGGGATACTAATGGAGGATTTCTGGTTTGTATTGTTATTTACACAAGCTCAATTCAAATATTTTGTAATATACAATGCTATTAAGTAATAACATAATGCTATTAAGAAATTATCAAGAACTTGTTAAAAGGAAAATCAAGTTTACTTAATATAGGTAGTTCACCTCAAATAACAATGAGTTTATTTTTTATTTGCATTTTTATATCAGCCACTTGCAATAGTTTGAATAAATTTGCCCGTCTGCATATTCAGTAAGGGGAAAAATAGTTTTCTTAAAATAATGAGATGACATTAGACATAAAAAAAATTGGATCCAATTGGGTTGATTACCAAAATAGAAAGGATAAGCATTGATTCAGCACAAATGAGGTTCAAGCAAATGAGTTGCAGCAAACGATGCGTGAAGTAAGATTGGTTTTTAAGGGCGTTTGAATAGTAAATAAAAATGAAAGGGAGTTTGAATAATAAATAAAAACAATATTCTTTGTTCAAAATCATTCAATGGACATACAAACCGTCTTTATTTATTAGAAAATGTGGGACTAGGTGAACTAGCAAAACGTTTTTATGGAAAGCTAATTTATTTTACACTGTGTATAACATTGATAACAGTGACAGTAAACAATTGATTATTAGGAATGGAGAATTGACTAATAGCAGCCTTATCACTGTTACTAGTATGCGAATTTTGTCGTATTAAAGGAATGCTGGAGTCAATGACGAACTCGAACAATATCGACAATACAGAGACAATCGTTACTAACATAATCACGCTATTTTTTTCGTATTTCTTGTATATACAGAACTTACATGAAAGTGTGTTGTTTTGTTTTATCATACTCAATAGAAAATCTAACCATATATGTGTAGAAATCTTTTTGCAAACTTTTTCGATATTCTTAAGTTTTTAAATGCAAATGCGAATGCGAAGGTAGAGCAATGTTCTTCAAAATTTTTCTGTTTGGAGCATCCACACTTTCGTATGGTCCCTAAAGGTGATATGACCATGCTAAGATTCGAAAAATTTTCCAACTGTTATTTTATAGAATTTTCAAAATCTGCTTGCGCTATTACAATTTACTATGGATCTTTGGCAATTAGGAAAAAAGTCATGAGAGAAGATATTCAATTCAAACCATAAGAAAATAATTCATTTTCAAAAAGCAGCCATTTTGGCCACATTAAAAGTCATATTAAATATGAAGGTAATATGGCCACTTTTTCTTATCTCTTTAAAATTAAATTTTTAATTATTAATCAATCTTTTAACTATTAATCAATCAATTTTTTAACTATTAATTATAATTAATGCAATTTATAATGGAAATAATAAAAGTTTATAATAAAAGAAGTAATATTTATTTAAAAAAACACGTTATAAAAAAATACCATGTAAGATAGATTTTCCTTGGACAGATTTCTTGTGTCCATTTACCGTGCCTCTTTTTTGGAGGATCAAGATTCATATCTAAAAGTAGAAAAGTAAAAATATTTTTATAATACTCAATCATATATAGCATTACAGGTTATGGCACTATAAGTTAGTAATATGGCCATATTAGCAACGCGTGTCATTTCATAAAAATGTTCCTAATATTACATTAAAATATTTTTTAATTAATTACTTGTTAAAGTAAACTAAATTTCGATATCGTTATTAAAATCAGCATAGGAAACTGCATATTAAGCAATTATTCAACTAATATTATAAATTAATAAACATGAGAACAATAACAATCTGACCAGAGCGCAGTACGAAACGTCTCTGTCGTCAAACACATAAACTCCATGAGAGAGAATACGCGATATTTCAGAACGGCAATTGTGTCAGGTGTTCTAATAACATGTAAAGAAGAACATACTAGTCTTATTTGAATTTTTCCGTCCAAATGATCTCTTTTACGGCTGATTGGCCATATTAAAAACCTGACCATATTACTTTCAGGGATTTTACAAGATGCGGAACTTTTGGCAAATATTACGCTTGAGATTTTACATTAAAAATTGTTTGTTTGTTTTTGTCACATATCGAGCAAAGCTCCTATTTATTTTGCACGTACTTTCATAACGTAAAAGCATTTGTAATTCTGTGTAACCAATACGACGTAAACTTTGCAGAAAAATGTCAGTGTTCTGTCGGTAAAGTTTTCAGCTTCAGCATCCCCTTAAATCAATTGCATATATTTAACGTCAAATATTTCAGTCATAATTATAATTCTTTTTAAAGCGTTTCGCAGATGCGCAGATGCGTTTAAAGTATTTTCGAAGATGTAACTGTACCTTAAAACTGCACTGTATTGTACTGTACTATACTATATTGTAAAAACCGCAAAAATTAAAATGAAAGACTGTTTGAAAACAAGGATGACACATGCATGTCACTTGAACACTTAACATAACGTCGCAATTATAAAAATGACGATGCATGTGCGGTCTCCCATAACGAGGTGCGTTCAGGTTCAGACCCAAGTCCAACAATAACTACGGAGTGCGTCGTTCACCGATGATTTAATCGTATTTCTATTGGGATGAATTTGTATAGTCACTCTGTGAACTTTTCTCATGACTCATCCATCGAATCTGTTAAGTCAATTGATACTTTGCTGCGATATAAGCTATGTTCGGCACAAGCGACTAACTTTATATACGAGTCTCAACCGCTACGTTTTTCTAATTTATTCTATTATAAATGAATAAATAAACAAATCTTTCTATTTATTCTGGGATTTTCTTAACATGCCAAATTGTCAAATTTGCTTTAGGCGATTATTATAACGTATAATTTCGTGAAAATAAATTTAACTCAGAGATAACTCTCGCAAAACGAAGGTATTTTATAAACATTATTTAACGTAATAACAAGCTATTTTTCCTCTTGCAATCGTAATAACAAATAATACAGAGCAGCATATAATTATAATTTCCGTTGAAAATGATTTAAAGAGGAGAACACCACTGTAAAGTCTAATCTATGTGTTCTTTGTTTCCTGCTTCTTTCTCTTTATCTCTTTCTGACTCAAAACTAAAAAAGGACAGAGAATAAAAAATAGGAAACAAAGAACACGTTGTAGATTAAGCTTAAAAGTTTCGAAAAAAATTACTTTCTTTTCATTATATTTTCTGAAAGATTATAATTTAAGAAATATTGTGTAAAATTCTTTGAAAATTGGTCTAAATTGGCGAAATAGGGAAAAAGTTTATGAAATGTTGTTAGAGAGCATAGAGCTATTGGAATGATACTATGTTCAGCCAGTTAAACACTGACTATAATATATTATAACTAAAAATTTATACACACACACACACATACACATATATAATAGACTAAAAGATATATTATAATTATTTACATGTTTTAAACATTAATATGTAAGTTTTAACTCTTTCATTTAGCATAAAAAATCTCCTCAAGTGGAGATATAGTTCTACAAATTGCAAGTTATTTGGCCATCATATTCAATAAGGGGAAAAATAGTCTTCTTAAAATAATGAAATGACAGACATAAAAAAATTGGATCCAATTATGTTGATTATCAATATAAGAAGCACAAGCGTTGATTCAGCACAAATGAGGTTCTAACAGATGATGCATGAAGTAAGATTGGCTCCTAAGTAGCTCAAAATGGTTGCTGAAGAAGCATTTGTTGATCAGAAGAGTCTACTATATTGACTCCGATGTGGTTGAATTTGGTGAACGCACATATTGAATTATGTTGGTCTCTTCATTATAATTAGCACTGGAACTTTAAGCGCGTTTCTCTCCTGTTTCTCAACTGTTTTCTTTTTTAAGTTAGTTTAGAAAATATCCAAAGTAAAAGAGACCGAGGCTGGATGGCACATCTTTCACAATTTCAAAGTTATAACTTTTGAGGCTATTCGTTATGATTGATTGTGTAAACATGAGAGAGACATCCTTCCTCTATATTTTTATGCTCGCAACGATTCTGTAAACCGTATATCTTGTGCTGTAATAACCGAAATACGAATATGCTGCAACGTGCTTATCTTGCCCTGGTACC